ACACGACACACTACGCCGTGCTACACCATGATTTGCCCGCCACCACCCCACCCCACCCCACCACCACCACACCTACCTCGTAATACTCCTCGGACTCGACCTTGACCCAGTCGGTGCCGATGCCAAGGTCAGGGGCGCGTTCGGGAGGGGCGACGGACATCGTAGCAGCCTGCGTCACCTCGGGGTAGAGCAGGGGTAGATGCTCGGCTAGCAGGGCCAGCCCCCCGACGCTAGCAAACACCTGTAGCAGGGAAAAAATATGAAAATTTATTTTTCGGGGGCTACTTTTCAAGCTCGCGTGCAAAAAAATAGCACTCTAAAATTTGGTTTGCATTGAACTCTATGCAAATTTCCGAGGGGCTCTTTTTGGCATTTCCGGGGCTCTTTTTGGCATTTCGGGGGGCTAAATCGCCCCGAGCCCCCGTGTATTTTTTTCACTGACCTGTAGTCCCGTCGGCTGCGGCCGAACATCCGCTGCCGTCGCTGTCGCTCGCTCCGCCACGCTCGCTCCCTCACCCACCCCCACCGCTGCTGCGGATGATGATGATGGTGATGATGATGATGGCAGACCTGCATCTAATAGATAATAATTAATATTATTACTAATGATATATATATATATATATTATTAATAAATATATGATATAATATTATTAATATTAACTACTACTATTATTATTATATATATATTTAATTCAGTAATAAAAATAGTAGTTATATTAATAATGATTACTGGATAAATAAGAAAAAAAGACCTGTGTCTAATAGATAACGATTAATATTATATATACTGCATCAACACTTCTGGGCCCACCGCCCCTGCCCGCCTCTCTCTCCTCCTCCTATTCCTCCTCCTCCTCCTCCTCCTCCCATACGCCCGCCCACCCTTCCTCCCCTCCTCCTCCTCCGCCTTCTCCTCCTCCCAATTCCTCCTCCTCCTCCCACCCTTCCTCCCCCCCGACACCTACCGCACGTGAACCTCTCCCTCGCCGCGTCGCTGGCTCCTCCTCCTCCTCCTCCTGCGCGGGTCTTCCTCTTCCTCACGGACAGCGTGAGTTCAATGATGGGATGCCCCGCGGCGAGCCCCCTCTCCTGCAGCGCGGCCACGACCTGGGCGAGGCTCAGCTCGGCGGGGAGGGAGCGTCCGGGGAGCAGCGCGTGCGTGAGACACGCCACGTCGCGCTCGGGGCACGCCGCGAGGGTGGCAGCCGCCGCGTGTCCTCGCCGGGACGGTGGACGCGGAGGAAGCCCCGCCGCCGCCGCAGCCGCCGCCGCAGCCGCCTTCGCGCGCTTCTCCTGCGCGGAGATCCCGGCAACGAGGGACACGTGGTCGAGAAGTTTCAACGTCGCCTCCCCGCCGCCGCCGCCGCCGCCGCCGCCATCTTTCTTGTCGTCGTCCTTGCCCGCGGTGGCGCCACCTGCGCTGAGCGATACGCTCGGCTTGTCTGTGGACGGACGTGAGGAGAGAAACGTGCGTCAGACGTGGTTCGCGAACACGCGCGCGAAGATTATGACGACGAAAATTCTTAACGATTACAGAGATTGCGTTTACGGAGATCACGATTGCAAAGGTTGTACGTGTCGAACGACATCTCAAAGTAATTAACATTGAATTAAACGGATTAAAAAAACAACATCAAATTCTACAAGAAGTCTGCGACAAGAGAACATCTTCGCAGCAGCGCGGGACAAGAGAACGTCTCTCCGCGACTATCTCTCTCGCTCTCACCGAGTATCTTGGCGATCATGCCGGACACTGTCGTCTGGAGACTGAGGTAAAGAACGCGGTAGTTACGCCCGCAGCGAAACATCGGGTGCTTGAGCATCGTGCACGTGATCGGCGACGCCACCTGGTGGAGCGGCACGTCCGAGCGGAAGTGCACGAGTATCTTCTCGTCCTCCAGGAGGAGCTGCAGTAGCATGCGTCGGGTGAAGCCAGTGATCGGGAGCTTGTTGCCGTCTAGACGCGTGTGTACGCGGCGAGGGAGGGAGCGAGCGAGAGAGAGAGATGAAGACATGTGTTAAAGTCAATGGATCACTAGGAAACCATGACAAAATATATTATATATAATACTATTACTATTATTTATATGATATAA